AACTATTACTTTAGTTATGTTCTACTGATACGTATGAATTTGGTCATTTAGTTTGAAAATTTTTATAATTTTATTATGACTTTTTTGTCCAATTCAAGGGTTATATAAAAATACTTTTAAATTTCCCAATTCATTCATTCTTATTACATGTGGATAAGATTCTAGGAAATTCCCTAGTTACTAGAAATATAACAATCGATAAAGTAGAATAATAACCATAGGCTCCAGGAATTTACATTCTAGTGAAGGGAGACAGATGATAAAGTTAGTAACATTTTTGACAGTGTGAAATGATTTAGAGAAAAATGAAGAACAAGTGATAGAGAATGAGTTGTGGATAGGGTGTTGAAGATCTTAGTAAAAGGACCTACAGGAGATGAAGGAGTCACTGAATGTTTGATTACCTGCACGAAGGATCCTGGCAGAAGAAACAGCAAGTTGACTCGTTCAGAGGCTGAATCACTCTTAGTGTGTTAACGGGACAGCAGAGACAAATGTACTTGGCACACACTAATTGGGCGGGGGGGAAGAGATGGGATTAGAAAGACAAAGTTTTCTTTGGAAAACTTTGGGCTGGAGGGCTAGGCGGGTGGGCTTTGTGGGCTACTGTAAGGTATGGCTTTAACTTTCACTTATAGTATGATGTAAAGCCATTGGAGAAATCTGGAGAGATATGACTTACCTAGGTTAGATTTTCCCGGGATCACTCTGGTTGTGAACTTGAAAATAGACTGACTAGGGACCAAGGGGAAGCAAGTAGAGAAAAAATGTACTGCCATTTTCTTTGTAGATTAGGATGTAATCAGTTTTCATAATGTTCCTCAAGTTGTTACAAAAAAGTTATTTAATCATTGTACGCAATGTTACATATACATTCATTAGATCAAACTGATTCATTATGGTATTCAAATCTTCTATATTCTTGCTAAGTTTCTATCTGTCTGACTCATGAGTCACTATAGATGTACTAAAATCACCCAATGGGATAGAGATTTTGTAATTTCCCATTAAGTCTTTCAGTTTGTGCTTTATACAGTTTGAGATTATATTATGAAGTCCATATAAGTTAAGAATCACTATTTTCTTCTGGCAAATTGAAACATTTGATCACTATGTAGAGCTCTCTTTACTCTCAATAATGTAGTACTAGGGAATTTGACAGGTGGTATGACAGAGATGAATAAAACACAGTCCCTGAGCTACTTTCTAATACTCCCCAGTCGTTGATTTCCATTCTGACAATCATGGGATATATAATTAAAAGCTTGGGGAATTTTATCATCAAAAATCAGAATCTTTTATAAAATACTGAAAATATAAGCTCCTTGACAAGAGAAGTTTATTTTCTAAGGATTTAGGTGGGGAAAAATAGCAACATGTTACCTCTACATTCAAGAAGCTGTTTGAAAGACTGTTAAGATGATAAAAGACAAGCCATAGATGGAGAGAAATTTTACAAATCATATATTTGATAAAGGACTTCCATCCAGCAAACACAAAGAACTTTCAAGACTCAATGAGAGCCCTGACTAACATGGCTCATTTGCTTGAGTGTCACCCCACAAAGCAAATGCTTCGATTCCTGGTCAGGGCATATGCCTGGCTTTTGGGCCTGATTGGGGCACATGGGAGAGGCAACTGATCAATGTTTTTCTCTCGCATAGATGTTTCCCTCCCTCTATTTCCCCTTCCCTTACTCTCTCTCCAAAAATCAAAAAGACTCAATGAGATATCAAGCAACACAATTTTAAAATGTGCAAAAAAATTGTGCCACTTCACCCAAGGAGAGATTAAATGGCAAATAAGCTATTAACAGATGCTCAACAATAGTATGAGGAAGTTCTGACCAAGATGGAAGTGTAGGTAGAAACCCTTTGCTTCCTTGCACAACTAAAAGGATGATAACAACCAATCTAAAATTAATAAACAACCAGAAGTGCCAGAAAATCAAACTGCATGGAACTCCAACAACCAGGGAATTAAAGAAACAGTCAACCAGACCAACCAGACTGGTAATTCAGGCAGACAGAAGGAACCTGTGGCAAGGCAGCAGACTACATGGGCAGGGCTGACTGAATGGAAAACTGAGACTCTGAGTTGACTGTGGGCTATGGCTGGGGTTGCTACGGTGAGAGGATCTCCCAGTCTCACATGAGAGTTAATTGGAAAGGGGCTAGAACCAGCAAGTTAGCTTCATTGTTCCCTCTCTGACCCCACCACCACAGAGACACAATGCAGCAAATAGGGTTGCCTGTCCTGGTGAATACCTAAGGCTCTGCCTCTTTAAAACTTAATGGGTGAGCCTACACAAAGAAATAGGGCCCAAATGCAAGGACAGAGCAAAACTCCAGAAAGACAGCTGAGTGATGAGGAGATAGCCAACTTATCTGATGGAGAGTTCAAAGCCCTGGTAATCAAAATGTTCACAGAACTGATTGAGCTTGGTTGCAAAATGAAGAACAAATGAAGACTACCCAAAGTGAAATAAAGCAAAATATTCAGGGAACCAACAGTGACAGGAAGGAAACCAGGACTCAAATCAATGATTTGGAACAAAAGGAAGAAATAAACACCCAACCAGAACAGAATGAAGAAACAAGAATTCAAAAAAAAAAAAAAAATGAGGAGAAGCTTCGGAACCTCTGGAGCAACTTTAAACATTCTAATATCCAATTACAGGGGTTCCAGAAAAAGAATAATAGCAAAAAATTGAAAACTTATTTGAATAAATAATGAAGGAAAACTTTCCCAATCTGGTGAAGGAAATAGACTTCTAGGAAGTCCAGGAAGCTCAGAGAGTCCCAAAGAAGCTGAACCCAAAGAGGAACACAGCAAGGCATATCATCAAGTTACCCAGGATTAAAGACAAAGAGAGACTCTTAAAAGCAGAAAGAGGAAAGGAAACAGTTACCTACAAAGGAGTGCCCATAAGACTATCAGCTGATTTCTCAAAAGAAACCTTACAGGCAAGAAGGGCCTGGAAAGTATTTGAAGTCATGAAAGGCAAGGACCAACATCCAAGATGACTCTATTCAGCAAAAGTATCATTTAGAATGGAAGGGCAGATAAAGTGCTTCCCAGATAAGGTAAAGTTAAAGGAGTTCATCATCACCAAACCCTTATTATATGAAATGTTAAAGGGGCTTATCTAAGAAATTTAAAAAGATCAAAAACTATGAACAGTAAAATGACAACAAATTCACAACTATCAACAACTGAACCTAAAAAAAAAAAAGGAAAACAATGAAAACAAACTAAGCAAACAACTAGAACAGGAACAGAATCAGAGAAATGGACATCACAGGGAGTGTTTTCAGTGGGGAAGGGGAGGGGGGTATAGGGGGAAAATGTACAGGGAATAAGAAGCACAATTGGTAGGCATAAAATAGATGGGGGGAGGTCAAGAATGGTATAGGAAACAGAGAATTTAAAGAACTTATACGTACAACCCATGGACATGATCTAAGAGGGGTAGATGCAGGAGGGTTGGGGGCTGCAGGGTGGTGGGTGGATAAAGGAGGAAATTGAGAAAACTATAATAACATAATCCATAAAATATACTGAAAAATAATAGCATTAGGGAAACACATATTAAATCTATGAGATATGACTAAACACCTATTAGAATAGCTGAAGTTAAATTAACTAACAAACCATACCACATGTTGGGGAGTATGTGCTGGAAGTGCAATTCTCATGCACTACTGGGAAGAACATTAAATAGTATAACTGTTTTGAAAAACTTTGGTAGTTTCTTAAAATGTTAAACACCTACCAACTTTAGGTGGTGAACACACAATACAATATACAGATGATGTATTACAGAACTGTATACTTGAAACCTACATAATTTTATTAACCAATGTCACCCCAATAAATTCAATAAAAATTTAAACAGAACAATTTACTTGCAAAAATCCATGATGAACAAAATATCAATTTCAAATAAAGACAGATCATTAGTATTACTGATCTATCCCTTGTCCTCAGGCTTTAATATGATTTAGCATGCCACTGTTTTTCTCATTATCTTTGAAAGTATTACTTTAAAACATAATTGATCTTTTTTATTGTTGTTCAGTTATAGTTGTCCTGCCTTTTCCCCTATTGCTTTCCCCTGCCCCATCCCCTCCTGCAGTCCCACAGTCAATCCCCCCCCCTACTGTCTGTGGCCATGGGTCTTCTAATCATGTTTTTTGGCTTGCCCCTTCCCCTTCTTTCCCTGTTACCCACCTGCCCTGCCTTCTGGTCACTGTCAGTTTGTTCTTTATTTCCATGTCTCTGGTTCTATTTTGTTCATTTGTGAAACAAAATCAATCTTGACTGCTGAGTTGTTTTGGTACCACCTAAAACCTCCATATAGGGCAAATATTAAAACTTGATGGCTGTGAGCCATGGCTGGTGTAGCTCAGTGGATGGAGTGCAGGCCTATGAACCAAAGGGTCACCAGTTCCATTGCCATTCATGGCATATACCTAGGTTGAGGTCCAGGTTCCTAGTGGGGGATTCACGAAAGGCAACCACACATTGATATTTCTCTCTCTTTCTCCCTTCCCTCTCTCTAAAAATGAGCAAATAAAATCTTAAAAGGAAAACTTGATGGCTGTATGTATGGAAGAAAACATGTATCAGATGCTCCCATCATTCAATTCCTAGCTAAAATCCATCCAAGAGAAATGAAAGTATATGTACAAAGACACCAATATGTGAAATATTTGTGGCAGCTTTATTTGCAAGAGCCTCAAACTGGAAACAACACAAAGTTTATCAAAAGGTGAGTGGGTAAACATATTGTGTAGTGTCCATACACTGGAACAGTTCTCTACTGTGACAAAGAATGCATCTTCCTGGCTCATCCTGGGAGAACGTGGGATGTGCAGCGAGCCTGCGTTGCCCACCTACCAGAAAGATTCCGGCAGCACCTAGCAACAGTCACCTAGCAACCAGAGGTGGGACAACAAAGCACTGAAGCCGCTGGTTGCCTTCGGGCCAGCGGCACTATGGCGGACAAGAAGAGGCTGTTTCAGCCTCAGATCAAGGGGAAGTGGCTGCGTGGGACGGAGCCTCTGGAGCCCATACCTAAGGGCCCACAATATAAGCACTGGTACAAGACAAAAGACAAGTTACCTCCCAACTATTTAGCAAAGAACAGGAACAGGCTTCTGAAGTGCCCCATGAACACCCCGCAGTGGATATCTGTGAGAAATGGGCTGGATGATTTCAGAACTGGCTCCCCGCCTGCTGATAATATGATCATTCATGGCCCTAGGGAGGGCTGTCTCTCCACGACTGCTCCTAGAGTTCCCCAACCTCCCCCCAGAAAGACTCAATACAAGCTGTCCGAAGGAGAACTGCTTTCCAAGCTCTCACCCACCCAGCAAGCACAGAAGGCTTTTGTAGAGGAATCCAAAGCCAGTCTGACCCCGCATCCCTTGGCTCGATACCCAGATTTGAAGGCAATTCTACCTCCAGACCTCTTATTAATGGTGCTGGAAGAGCTCGATCCTAACAGGATGCTGGAAGACACCTGGGCTTATTGTGAGGTCATGAAGGACAAAAAGAAGTCTCGCACAAAGCTTTGTGAAAAACACCCTAAGGAAATCAACCTGGGACTTCCCAAACCAAGACAACCTGGGACCTCCCGGCCAAGTCGACCAAGACCCCCCCAGCCAAGTCAACTGGGGACCCCCCGGCCAAGTCAACCAAGACCCCCCCAGCCAAGTCGACCAGGGACCCCCAGGCCAAGTCGACCCGAGACCCCTCGGCCAAGTATCTTGGGAACCCCCCCAAGTCGATCCAGGACCCCCCGATCAAGTCAACAGGGACCTCCCAGCCAAGTCAAACAAGACCCCCTGGCCAAGTCGTCCTGGGATCTCCTGATCAAATCATTCCGGCACCAAATGGACGGGCCATCCAGGACCTCCCAGGAAAGTCAGCTGGGGCCTCCCATGCAAATCAACCAGGACCTCCCAGCCAAGTCAACCAGGACCTCCCACCCAAGTCAACCAGGACCTCTTGGCCAAGTCAATGGAGGGCCTCCAGACCAAGTCAACCAGGGACCTTCTGTACAAGTCATCCTGGGATCTCCTGGTCAAGTCATCCTGGCACCACATGAACAGGTCAACGAAGACCTCCCGGCTGAGTCAACCGGGACCTCCCAAGCAAGTCAACCAGAACCTCCCGACCAAGTCAGTGGAGAACCTCCTGGTCAAGTCATCCTGGCACCACATGAACAGGTCAACGAAGACCTCCCGGCTGAGTCAACCGGGACCTCCCAAGCAAGTCAACCGGAACCTCTCGACCAAGTCAGTGGAGAACCTCCAGACCAAGTTAATGAGGAACTTCGAAAGATGTCTTTGCTGTCATGTATAAACAAGTTGTTTCCTGAGGAAAAGAAAAAAAAGAAGTCAAGCAGAAAGGGTATTCTCAAACCTCCTGATCCATACAGAAATGTACGGAGAGAAGTTCATAGATTCTGTAGATGGCTTGATACTTTTGGAGACATGGGCATTGATGAAAGTTTCATCATGAAACAGTTTGAAGTTGACTATACGTGCACACCTACCTACAATGCAGGAAAAATAAGGAAAGTAAACCAGATCCCGGTGGAACTATACTACAGCGAAGGGCTAGATGATAATAAAAAGAGAGAATTTGGCATACAGGAAAGGGACTGGGAGAGAAAACTCTGGAAGCCACCCGATCCTTATAAACCCAAGCAGGCAAAGATAAGGTATGGAGCATGGTATCTGAACCCCAATACCTGGAAAAAGCTAATAAATAATGAACCTTGGATTGACCCAAAAGTCTTAAAAGAACAGGAATATCAACGTTATGGAAGGGATCTTGAACCGGACATTATTGATGATCTTTATGGACCAATTGCCTTCAAAGATTTCATTGTAAGCAAGGGCTACAGGATGCCAGCTGTGATTGAGAAGTTGTTTTTGAGGAAGAAATGGACTTATGATTCTGTTAAGACTCCTATAGACCGAGTAATGAAACTCATCTCAAACGTACCTGATAATACACCTGATAATACACCTGATAATACACCTGATAATACACCTGATAATACACCTGATAATACACCTGATAGTACACCTGATAATACACCTGATAATACACCTGATAATACACCTGATAGTACACCTGATAATACACCTGATGATATATCTGATGATGATTAGACAACTTTTATTTACTACTAACTTGGCTATTTTCTCTCTCTCATGTTAACATCCATCAGAATTCATGATGAATGTCTCATGGTGTAGGTACAACTTTGATTCTACAACATCTGTAAATTTAACACCTAGTGTTAATAAAAATTCTAAATGAGCTTCTGCTTAGGTTCATCAATATTTTATGTATTTTACCAACTATGAAATCAACATTCACATATAGTCTCACATTTTTCTAACATTGTGAATATTATACTCATATCAATTATTTGTAAAAAAATAAAGCCACAACTAAAAGACTTACTGACTAAAAGATCTTGTTATGTCAGCTACAAAATGGGATGAATCTCAAAATAATTGTGCAGAATAAAAAAATTTAGTCTCATTCAATAATGAAATTGTTATCCCCTTTATTAGGATTGCACCAAGACTGAAAACCAGATTGGAAACTATTTATCAAAATTATAGCAGAAATGTTAGTTCATTCTTTTTTAACATTTTTATTGTTCAATTACACTTGTGGGCACAATTTTCCCCATTGCTCTCCTTTACCCACATCCCACCTTCCACTTTCAATCTCCCCCCATTGTCTTTGTCCCTGTGTCCTTTATACATCTTTATACATATTACTTGACTTGACCCTCCCCCTTCTTTCCTCAGATATCCCCTCCCCCTATCCTCCGATCAGTCAGTTTGTTCTTTATTTCTAAGTCTCTGGTTCTATTTTGCTCATTTGTTTGTTTTACTGACTAGGTTCCACATATAGGTGAGATCATATGGTATTTGTTTCTCACTGCCTGGCTTATTTCACTGAGCAATAATAGAGCTTTTCATTCCTTTTTTTCCTCTAGTTTTTAAAATTTGAATAATAAAACAAATTTAGTTTATAAATTAATTGCCCTTGGTATTGCATTAAACATCAGGGTCAATAATGCCGATCCCTCCCTCTCCCCCTCCTCTCTCCCCTTTTAATCAACTTTACTCTAAAATATCATGTAATTTTAATCTTTTTAAAAAAAACTTTGACTCCTCAGGTAATTTATCTAGAAAATTAAAAGTACTTTGTTCAAAGGTAGGAGAGATCACAATACCCGATACCATACTATATTACAAGGTCACTGTAATCAAAACAGCCTGGTACTGGCATAAAAACAGGCACATAAACCAATGGAACAGAATAGAGAACCCAGAAATAAACCCGAATCTCTATGGGCAGCTAATATTCAACAAAGGGGGCAGTAACATAAAATGGAGTAAAAATAGCCTCTTCAGAAAATGGTGTTAGGAGAACTGGACAGCTATGTGCAAAAAAATGAAACGAGCACCAACTTAAACCATACACAAAAATAAATTCAAGGTGGATAAAATACTTAAATATAAGCCATGACACCATTAAAATCCTAGAGGAGAACATTGGCAAGAAAATCTCAGATATTTCACACAGCAACATTTTTACTGATATGTCCCCTAGAGCAAGGGACATAAAGGAAAGAATAAACAAATGGGATCTCATCAAAATTAAAAGCTTTTGCATGGTTAAAGAAAATAGTATTAAGATAAAGAGAGAACCAACTGAATGGAAAAACATATTTTACAATGATACCTCAGACAAAGGTTTAATCTCCAAAATATACAAAGAACTCACATGACTCCACTCTAAGAAGACAAGCAACCCAATTAAAAAATGGGCAAAGGACTTGAACAGATACTTTTTCAAGGAGGACATACAGAAAATCCAGAGACACATGAAGAGATGCTCAATATCATTAGCTATCAGAGAGATGCAAATTAAAACCACAATGAGATACCAGTTCACACTGGTCAGAATGGCTATCATAAACAAAGCAACAAACAACAAATGTTGGAGAAGTTGTGGGGAAAAGGGGACCCTAGTTCACTGTTGGTGGGATTGCAGACTGGTACAACCATTACGGAAAACAGTATGGAATTTTCTCAGAAAACTAAAAATGAATATGCCTTTTGACCCAGCAATTCCACTGCTAGGAGTATATCCTAAGAACCCTGAAACACCAATCCAAAAGAACCTATGCACCTTAATGTTCATAGCAGCACAATTTGCAATAGCCAAGTGCTGGAAGCAACCTAGGTGCCTGTAAGTAAATGAATGGATCCAAAAACTATGGTACATTTACACAGTGGAATTCTATGCAGCAAAAAAAAAGAAGGAGCTCCTACCCTTTGCAACAGCATGGATAGAACTGGAAAGCATTATGCTGAGTGAAATAAGCCAGGTGGTGAAAGACAAATATCATATGATCTCACCTTTTACAGGAAGCTAAACAACAAAACAAACAAGCAAGCAAAATATGCCCAAAGACACTGAAATACAGAACAGGCTGACAGGGACCAGAGGGGAGAGCGGAGAGAATTTCAGGGGAAAAGGGAAGAATTCACAGGAATAAATATAAAGGACACATGGACAAAAACTAAGGTGGGGAGGGAAATGGGAGGGAGGTGGGGAGCGGGGGCGGGTGGACTGGTATGGAAGTATAAAACAGAAAACTGTACTTGAATAATAATTAAATAAATTAATTTAAAAAAGTACTTTGTTCAGACTGATTTTTAGTTTTGAAGAAATTTCTTGGTCTGGAAATTTTATTTTCCAGTCTATGAAGATCTGTCCAAATTTCATGTTTAAATTATCATACAGCTTTTCTCTTTTTATTATTAATTTACCAGTCAATAATGCTTTCTTTTTAACCATTATCAGTTTTTTCTACCAATCTCTGCTGGAAGTTCATTTTCAGTTTTATACTGTACTTTGCAAGTACTGCTTTCCAAGCTGTGAATGCACAATATCTATCTGTGCAGCGAGGAGTGATTTGTTCTTTGTATGTCATGGTGCCTTTTTATGTGCTGTGAAAATGATCAGTTAAACGATTCCTTTATTGACGTGGGCTGTTTTAACTAAACAGAAGTGTGTGATAAAGATATATGGCAAATTAAACATAAATGTCTGAAACAGTTAACAGACACATCTTGCTGTCTTAGTTGCTGTACTGCATTATGTCAATACTTAGAATCATTAAATATTACAAAAGAAGCTGTGCTCCTCTCAGAAAGGACTTTGCAACAAAATGAATTATAATAAAAAGCACATTTATGTATACTTAGGCATAAAAAATTAAAATATATATAATAAGTTCCTTAACCTAGATAACTGAAGAATAATTATTTAAGGGACTATGAGGAAAACCCACTCCTTCTAAGGCTGGTTAAGGCGTGTAGTAGAAGCTTATATAAGTACACTTCATTTTAACCCAGTGACTATGTGCAGATCCATAAAAAGAATGACATATTAGGGAGGGGAAAAAAGAGCAGAACATCCCTTAAATAAGCATTGACAAAGCAAAACTGAGGAAGAGTAATACAAGTTGGCCTATTGCTATTAATGCCTCTGTTCATGAAAGGAATCAAACATGGATTATTAATGGGAATAAGAGCCAGAGGACATTTTTCAAACTATGAATCCCTTTGGGAATCTACTGAAGACTGCGACTCTCCTTTGTATACGCTCATAAAATTTAGCTCACAATGTTAAGAATTCACCCTGTAGTCATATTCAAAGTCCTTGGATCTCAGGATAAGAATAACAATGTTTACTTATTTGGGGCCAGAAGATTTTTACGCTCTTTAAAGCTAATGGCTCATTTACTCCTAACAACAATGCTATAAGATATCTATCATTTTTATAGCTCTTTTACAGATGAGGAAACTAAAGGGAGAAGTTATGCAACTAACTCAAGGAAACCCAGCTGGGAAGTAGCCAGGCTACCCTTCGAGTCCAGGTTATGTGGCTATGGAGCTGTGTGCCTCCTGAGAAAAACACCAGCTTAAAGAATCAGATGATAGAATTTTAGGTCTGGAGAAACACACAGAGGTTATCTATTTCAAACTCTTATTTGTTTTAAAGTGGAGGAAATTGAGTTTCACACAATGAAATGGTTTTTTACTGAAGTCCACAGAGCTAGTATTGCTGGAGTTCAAGTGGGCACATTTACTCAAGGCTCATACTGGCGCTGCATCGGCACTACTGTGGTTATTTAAGGCAAGAAAATTGAGGCGCACTCCTGATGAGTAGCAGTGCCACAACTCACATTGAGATAGTCTGACTCACAGCTAAAAACACTAGATTATTGTAACTCAGAAGACCCATTCCTCTCCCATCTGTTTAGTAGAAACAGCATAATAAAAGTAACCTCGAAGTTGGGGAATGCTAATGTTCTCAATTTACGAACTTTGGAATATTTGAAGGTTCTACTTTACAATAATTTAATGTTCTGTAATTAGAAAGCAATATTTGCAGCATGCTGCCATTTGTGCAAATCTAAATATGAACATACAAAATCACACACGCATAGATATAAAACTGTTCAAAGTTCATGCATTGGTCCTGGGGGAAAGCTGTTCACCAATTTAATTTCTTTCATAATGACTAGAATTCAGTACTTGTAAACATAAGATGAAGAAAATTATAGTTAAGAAAAGTGTTTTTTGACACAGCAAATTCCTTTAAAACCTCAAATTTGTGTACTGTTTGCTAAATATGTTGTCATTTGGAAGAATCCAGCTTTTCAATCTTTTGTAATTCTAAGTTATACTTCCCTTTACAAGTTCAACACAATGGTACTCTAGTGCAAACAAACACATCAGTTTCGGAACTTTTCACAATTACTTAATTTACATGCTAACCTAAATTCACATCAATTTAAGTTAGTAGTCACAATTTAGGTCAAACTTTTTCATTGCCCTTGTGCACCTAAGAAGGTATTCTTAGTGTAGTCCTGTCACAGATCTTAGAAAAGAAATAAACACATTTTTCATCCAGTGGCATAATAAACTTGAAAAAACGAGAAATCTTTCATTAGGAATCTTGAAAGAAGCTGTCGGTAACCACTTATCATCAGTATTAGCAACCTCGAGCTGAATAAAAATTGTGAGATTCTGTACTCTGCTCTGGCACTTGGATCATCTATTAGCACTGG